GCAGTCCTTGTGTTGTCTCACCTATGCAGACTTTATCACAACCACCAGAGGGTATGCTGTACACCTGGCTGTGGGATCTGTTGTGCTTTGACCTCTTTTCTTACGATATCCAATCTTCTTGCCTGAAGACATAGTTATCTTTATAGTGTGGCCCATTAGGGCCTCCAGGAGTTCAGTCAATGCCGAGTGAGGGATGATTATTCTTTGAGTCTTGTTATGCATGTCGTCTCCTTTCGGGATCTCCCACCCCATCATTTCGTATTTAGGCCTTGCAGGAGAACTTGCATTCTTGCAGGTTATCAACAAGTCCTGGCAAACCGCCACGGTGCCCCAGAGCTGGAAACAAGCCACAATAGTTCCCATCCCAAAACCAAAGGAGCCTGGCAAGTACCGTCCCATCTCTCTTCTCAGCTGCCTGGGTAAAACAGCTGAGAAGATGGTACTCAACAGGCTCCGATGGAAGACGGGTCCCCCTCATGAACACCTGCACGGGTTCACAAGGGGTAAGAGCACTATTCATAGCATTTCCACACTCTTAAGCACAATCTGCACCTCGCACACCGTGGTTGTCTTCCTTGACCTGGAGAAGGCTTTTGAACTGGCAAGTCCGCTTGCCATTCAAGAGACCCTAATCCACAAAGGAGTCAAAGGCAGACTCTTGGCCTGGATAGCTGACTATTTTAATAATAGGTCAGCAAATGTCAGATTTCAAGGCCACCTCTCACAGCACATGCCACTTGAAAATGGAACTCCTCAGGGAGGGGTTCTTCGTCCAACCCTGTTCAATACTCTCATGTCCAACATACTCGACATTCACCTGCCAGAGGGATGGAAGATCATCTCTTATGCAGATGACGGCAATCATAGCCTCTGGCAATCACTGCCTAACTAGAGCTCACCGTTGTCTGAACCTGGTGTCTGAAGAGTGTTGTAGGACGGGTCTGAAAATAGCAGCAGCAAAATCCAAAGCAATGGCTCTGAGAACTAGTGTCAGAAACAAAAAACTCACTATACAGGGTATGGATCTGGAATGGGTGAAGGACTATACCTTGGTGTATGGATAGGAGACACACTCACTTTCAAAAAGGAGATCCAATACCTGCTTGACAGAACCAAGGAAAGACTGTCAGTCAGGAGTCATGACAGGGAGACACATAGGAGCAGGACACAAAGTACTAAGATCATTCTATGTGCATGCTGTCCGTCCTATTATTGACTATGCATCTGTCGCCCTCATTGCTTCCAGTACAACATTAAAAGAAACACTAGAAACAATACAAAACGAAGCAGCCAGGATAATTCTAGGTGCACCTAAGTGGACAAAGGTCATCAACCTCCTCATGGAAACTAATTTACCGTCCATGGACACCAGAATTGATCTAATGGTAGCACAGTTCCTTTCCAAGGTCCTGCAGGCACCCAGAAACTCCTATCTAAGACAAAGAGTTCTCAGACGCCTACAAGATTACCAGTTGTTGCGACAATTCCTGGCTCACACATACAGCCAGAGTTTTGATACGCTTTCAGCTAAAAGAATCATTGCTTGCCAAGGGTATGGACTCCCCTCACCCTGATTACAAAGAACCCTCGCCGTGGGCAAACGAAATGATCGAATTCTCAATTCTAAATCTCACAATGAGAAAAGATCAATATTCCATGCCTAGCCTAAAGGCACAAGCACAAAGGGTCATTGATCAAATACCTCCTCCGGGTAGTATAACATACTACACGGACGGATCCGTGGATCCAATAAACCATGCTGTAGGCGCTGGCTTTGCAACAAAGGATACCACAGCATCCATTAGGGTCACTGACAATGCCTCAACGCTTCAAGCTGAAACGGTTGCGATCATGGAAGCCCTGACACACGCGTCACTAAGGGCAGGACACGTTGTCATTCACACAGATTCAAGAGCAACTATTGACAGCTTACAGCATAGCATGCCCCCAGACAACATCTACCTCTTGACAACAGTGCTAACCATAGCCCAAAGAATCCTTAGTCAAGGTAGAAGAATCATCATCAACTAGGTCCCAAGCCACATAGGCATACAAGGGAACGAGCTTGCTGATAAACTAGCTGAAAAGGGCAGGGGTATGCCCCCATCCTCCATGATCGTTAAACCCAGCCGAAGGGGACTGAGCCAAAGTACCAAAGCTGCAGCGTGTGCGGTCCTCTGGGGAGCACATAGAGAAAACATCACAAAATCGCTCACTGCCAAGTGGTACTCAGATGCTTCAGGCTATGAGCCACTGGCCCTTCCTCCAAACACAAAAAGAGGTACCGAAGTCATACTATTCAGACTAAGACTAGGTTACCAATGCGCTTGGCAAATTATTGATAATGAGACTGCCAGGTTATGTAAACACTGCGGCGAGCCTAACACCTGTTACATTACTCGCAGAATTGTGTACACACACGATTTCTGAGGCAGGGACCACCCACCACAGCCGCCGGGCTGGTAAAAAGGGTCTGCAACATGCTTACCCCGTGGCAGCTGGATCGCTTGCTCGCAATTCAGCCACCGCGATAAGCATGCAGTTCAAAGAAAACATCTGAGTTAACTAGAAATAGTTAACACAGGCCGGGCCACTCCAGAGAAAAGGCCCGGGCGAAGCATGACTTCGCAAAACTAACTGAACTGAACCTCTTGTCATGTATACTCTGAAGAAGCAATAGCGAAAAGGCCTTCGGCATATTCGTGCGTTTTCTTGTTCTTCTTTTCGTTGTTCCTGCTACAGTGTGTGTGTGCTTGTGTATGAAAGAATAATGCAATAACACACCGTTTATCTATACCAATGTTATACTGTATGACCGAATAGTCAGAGAAGCCCGAGAGCCACTGCTTCAATCCGAGCTTCTTCAAAATGCAAGGTTGGAAAGTCAACATTACCTAGAATATAAATCGTCGGGAGTCCTACGCATCCCATGATGAACCGGAGAGCGAGGATCAGAGAGAAGTTGCTGGCGAAGCTGATGCAGAAGCCAAGGGTGGCATAGGTCAGGTGAGTGACCAGAACCACGGCCTTCCTGCCGAATCTTCAATAGAAATAAGGTGTGAGTTTGTCTGTTGTTAGTTGACAATTACTGTTCTCTCTCAAAAATATTTTCCATATTCAAAATGTTTGTTATTTGTAAACCTTCAAATACCTAGTCTTCATTTAAAGATATTTTTGTTATAATTATTATCATAATTCTCATTATCACTATCATTATTATCATTATCATCACCGTCATTATTATCACCATCATCATCATTATCATTATCAATATTCATATTATAATTATTTTGCTTATTATCATTAACATCACTACTACTATTACTACTACTATTATTAGCATCATTGTATTATTGCCATTATTATTTATTATTATTTCTATTACTATTGTTATAATTATTTTATTTTCTCATTATCAACTTGATCATCGTTATTATCATTGCCCTTATTGTTATATTTATCATCATTATTAGTTACTACGATTTTATCATTGTTATCATTATTCATACTACCATTATCATTAATCATATCATTGCTATTATTACTATAATTACTTCTGAATCAATAAGAATGTTTAATTAGATACCTGTCGGCGATGTAACCGCTTGCCAAACAGGTAAATGTTGTACCAAACATGTTAATACTCTGATAAGTGGCTCGTAGGTAGCTCCTCTCACACACTAGGTTGAACTGCGAGAACAAGAACGTCATTACATATATTTCTAGATAGAACTTCGTGGTACACCTAGAGGAAGGGGGGTTGAGACGGTGCTGTCTGACTGTACCGCGGATTACTAAGTTGTACATATAAATAATTCTTATAAATATATATATATAATATATATATATATATATATATATATATATATATATATATATATATATATATATTCATATGAATCCCTGTAGTGCACTGGCATTCGAACGGGAATTATGATATGTTTTAGTTTGTAGAATATACATATTATGATAGGCGAGCATCATTCATCTGGTAGACAACCATTTCATATAGTGTTTGACAAAAGCTTTTCATACTTTTCATAATACTGCAATAATTGTTTCTCAGTACCCATGAAAGTTTTCCTTTCGGAATTGATAAAAATGTATTTGGTCATACATTACTTTTGTACAGTATAATCTCAATAGTTTGGGTACACTTCCTGTATTAGGGTGGCTGTGCAACTTTTTCTCCAGATAACTTTTTTACAGCTGGCAGTATATACAATACTTGAATCTCTTCAGAATGAAGCTCTTTTCTGTGTAATTAAGAATTACCTAAACTATAGCAGTGATCAGGAGTAACCTGCGGTCCAATGTTATAGCAACAACCAGACAACCCTTCATCTCTGTGTTGTGCGAATTTCAGTCTGGAGATACACCACAACAATGGAATGTGGTACTTGCATCAAAAATATTCAAATTATATTAGATTTCCTTAAATGGTATACATCATCGTTGTAGAAAGAGACCAATTACACCCTTATTTACCTCGCTGGTGAGAGTATTGGTGTAGACTGACGTGTCATATTCCCACTCGGTGCACGGGAACTCTTCCGCCTCGCCCGAGGAGGAGTTATTGACGAAATAACTGCACGAATCACTGCGGAATACATGTGTTTTGGTCTTACCAGTTATCGGTAAAAGTAAGCAAATGGAAGTAATACTAATTTGCAAGGCATAAAGAATAAGAGGCAATACTCAAACAGACACACACAATCTTACATATACATGTGCATGTGTGTGTCCGTTTACTGAGCATATTCACTTATCTCAAACATGCATAGTATATTTACTAGACATAAGAATTTTGGAAAGCCTGAGCCAATTACCAAGTCACTCCATACCACTCTCCAACCTTCTTACCTTGATATTTCAACCGGATCTTCCAGGAGCGGAGGAAGGCAGGTGTGGTTTACAAGAGGGGTGAGGTACACTCCACTGAGAACCTGAGGAGGAATCAGGATGTACCCTGAGAAAGAGACCATGTTTTAATATATGGG